TATTTTTTGTCAGAAACGCCTTGATTAATTTCTTACAAAAAATTGAATAGGATTATTTAAGGTATTTTTTATTAAAAAATATCTTGAATAATACATTAACAAAAACATTAGAGTAATTTAGTCAATTAGAGCATACGGTTATTAACTATAAGGTCATATGTTCGATCTCTTTTTTTAGTATTTTGAGGGTTTTTCAAGGGATTATTAAAGGTATTTTTAATAAAAAATGCTTTAAATAATCCTATTCAATTTTTTGTAAAAGGATTATGCTAAAAATATCTTCAATAATCCATTGAAAAACCTTCAAAATGCTAAAAGGAATGATCGAACCTATGACCTTATAATTAATAGCAATATGTTCTAACCAACTAAGTTACTTTAATGTTTTTGTTAATAGATTATTTAAGGCATTTTTGACCAAAAATATTTTAAATATTTTCTCATAAAAATTAAAGGGATTATTTGTATTTTTGGTTAAAAACGTCTTGAATAATCCTATTTAATTTTTTGTAAGAGATTATTTAAGGTATTTCTAACTAAAAAATTCTTTAATAATTTTTTGAAAAACCCTCAAAATGCTAGAGAGAGAGATTGAACCTACGACTTTATGGTTAATAGCCATATGCTCTAATCAACTGAGTTACTCCAATGTTTTGTTAACAAATTATTCAAGGTATTTTTTTGTCAAAAACGTCTTGAATAATTTCTTCATAAAAATTGAAGGAAATTATTTAAGACTAAAAAATACCTTAAATAATCTCTTTTAATTTTTTTTAAGGGATTATTCAATGTGCAAATGATTATTCAAGACATTTCTGGCAAAAAATACCTTTAATAATCTCTAAAAAAAATCTCAAAATACTAAAGGAAATGATCGAACTTACGACCTTATAGTTAATAGCCGTACGCTCTAACCGACTAAACTACTTCAGTGTTTTTGTTAATAGATTATTCAAGGCATTTTTCGTCAAAAATACCTTGAATAATCCTATTCAATTTTTTATAAGAGATTATTCAAGGCGTTTCTGGCCAAAAATATATTCAATAGCCCCCTACAAAATTTTTTGTATGGATTGTTGAATGTGTTTTTGGTCAAAAATGGCTTCAATAATTTCTTTCTAAATTTTTTTGAATGAGTTATTGAAGGTGTTTTTGGCCAAAAGTATTTTTAAGAATCTCATTCAATTTTTTGTAAGCCAATAATTTTTTTTTGTTTTTAGCCTATACTAACAGTTACTTTAATAACAGTCAATATATAACATATTTATACTGACGGATAGTCATATACCATAAAAAAAAATTATTTATACTAACAGTTAAATAAAATATTGCTATAAGTATGATACATTCTGATGGTATTAAAAATCTATCAGTAAAAGTCTCTTTTACTGACAAAATTTGACAGTTAGTAAATAATCCATGTAAAATTTTTTTGAATGGATTATTAAAAGTATTTTTAACAAAAAACACTTTCAATAATCCAATTCAATTTTTTATAAGCCAATAGTTTTTTTGTTTTAAGCTTATATTGACGGTTACATTAATAACCGTTAATATATAATATATTTATAATTACAAATAGTCATATATCGTCAGAAAAAATTTATTTACATCGACGGTTAAATAAAATATTGATATAAGTATGGTATATTTTGACGGTATTAAAAATTCATCAATAAAAATCTCTTTTACTAACGAAATTTGACTATCAATATAACTAAACATCAGTATATAAAAAAAAATTTATAGTGAAATAGTAAACACTCATAATTACTCGCTTTATACCAATTTAGTAATTTTCGGTCTCAAATAAACAGTGTTAGAGGAAGTGAACAGTACTTGTAGCAAAAAATTTGAGAAGTAATGCTTAAAGTGCAAGGAAAAAATGAAAAATTACCAAATAAGAGAGGTTGAGAGAAATAGAAAATGCACAGTGATGTATATTATAGTGGTTCGATCCTCTTTGATTTTCGCTCATTACTTTGACAGTGCTTGTTAATAATTTTTCTTAACCAAATTTCACTACCTTTCAGATTCCATTCTTTAAGGCTCTCCTCAATGCAGGGAGGGGGTGGGACAAGGACGATGACTACAATAGTGAAGGAAGGAAAAGATGATTCACTAAATATGGGCGTTCATGGGGTTTGGGACTCGTCTGTAATTGGAGTTGTTGGAAGCATTTGCGTTTTACCTAATAGAAAACAAAGAACAAAATAAGTAGCTTATCAATATTTACAACAGTTTGCAAGTACGTACAATATATAATAGAAAATTCCTCTTTAATTTCCTTTCCTCGAGAGACAAAGCTTTGTTTTCTAGTGTAGTGTTCCATGCAACCTATCTTTATTGCACTTATAAATGTAGCCTCACAACTTATAATATGTATAGCTGTGAATAATGAATGCAATTTATATGAGGCTGCTTCAATGTCCTTTAATTTGAATTTTGTTCATTCTAGTACAAATTTTATTGCACCCTTTCCTTATTTCATATATAAGACCTAACATGCAATTTTAGTCCGTACTAGGTAAGGTTTTTGATTAATTTCTTCTAGGATAAAATTCTTTTTCTTGATAGTAAAAGTATATTTTTACTGCAGCAAAGTCCTCCTGAAGAACAATCAAGAAAAATAGTTGTTAGTGCACACTCATTATGTTATATATATATATATATATATATATATAGAGAGAGAGAGAGAGAGAGAAATTATTTAATATATCGGTGGTAAAATTTTTTAATTTTACAAATAAAATTAAAAAATTGATGTATATCTCATAGTTTTTTAATTAATTTTTTAAAATTTTTTTAATATATGCATTATCTTGCTAACCCTATTATCAATGTATTTAATAATTTTCATGTGTATATTTTCTTGCTGGATGCATCTAAAGTGGTACCTTGGCACTTGCAACACATGGTAATAATCAGCAGTAATCAGAGTTACATGCTGATGTTATGTCCACAATCAAACATTTCCACTAAAGGTTTAACTTTAAACTATGAAAAATTTCTTATTATGGTAATCATTATTATTTTTTAACAACAGATGAGTATACAGGCAGCTACCGCATATGTCCAGTTAAAACATTAGCAAATACGTACAAAAAAAAATATACTTTAAACATTAATCAATTAATATTATAATTCCAAAAGTCTTAAGACTTTCTTTTTTTTTTTGGTGGCCACAATAAGTTATAGAGCATAGGTTTCCCCTTAAGTATACAGGGTTAGGCTTTTTCAATTTTCACTGCGCATCTTAGTTTGAATGTCGGATAAGTGATGATAGTTAAAGGAAAGCTGATTGGCTACTTGCATTGACTTTGTCGTATTCTGCGCCGAGATTGTGATTTGTGACCCAAAGATGAATTAGAAGTGGCTTTTCGAGCTCACACACAACACATTTTAAGGAAAAATAAAGATTTTATAATATCATATATTTTTATTGTCTATATAATTGGATGGGTATTTGACAAGTATATATATTTTTAATCAAAACAAAAGGACATAGGAGTTCACTTACCGCCTCCATTTTTTTTTTTTTTGCTTGTACACTTCTAAATAAGTTCATAAAGAAATAGTTAGCAAACACTCATACTAGTCATGCAGCCTAAGCACTTTGAAGTTCACGGCTATCAGATGTTCAAAATTCAAGCTCTGAAAAATAGGGTTAAAAATATGAAATCACAAGGAAACTACTGTTTTTGTTTGCATAAACTTAATGTTGAATTTTGTGTTAAATAATTAAGGTTCGTTTGGATTGTAACAAAAAAATCATTTGGCAAATTTTTTAAAAATATTTATATAAAAAAATAATAATAAAAAAACTACTACACTGAGTAAGTAAATATCTCACGTAACTATTATCCTTAAATGTGTTCATAATTCAAATTTAATTAAATTAATCGATTTAATTGATTTAATTCGATTAATCGATTAGTTATTAAATTAATTTTGATTGATTATCAAAATTAATTTTTAAAATACTTTGGTTTTGATTAATTCAGTTTAAAAATCAAATTAACCTAAATTTTAATCAAAATATTATCAAATCTGTATATAAAATTAAAAATATATGAATTTGTTCATTTCATTTCAAGTTATTAGAGTTTTTAATTTAATATTTTGGTGTTTGAGTATTTTTATTGGATAATTTTATTTAATTTATTTCTCATATTAAAAATTTAAAATATAATTTAACTTAACATTTTTTATTATTTGATTAACCAAAAAAATTAATTAAACCATTTGAATTAATTTCGGACAGTTAATTTTTTAAGTTAAAAAATTTAGTTCAGTTAATGAAAATAAAATAATATAATTAGATTACTTCGATTTGAAATTAATCGAACTGATTGAATGAATATCTTTAATTATTTTTTTAAAATGTTAAGAGATATAAAAAAATTTAAGTCAATATATGTACCTTGTAAAAGTATATGAATGAGGATTGATTGTTAATAAGAATAGAATATTTTATATATAAAAATTTAATTTAATTTAATTTTTATTATCAACAATTCTTTTTAATCTGCAATTTATAACTTTAGTATAAATTTTAACTGAAACCTACATATACTTTGATACTAAAATTAAATAATCTTTCCTTGTTTAATTTTTTTAATAAAAATGAAAAAAAGCAACTCACTCAACTCTAACTTTTTTGAAAGAAATTAAATAAAAAAAAGAAAGAAAAAGGGTTTTTGTGAAAACTTACATGAATTTTCCAGAGTATTTTTAGGAGATAAATTAGGCACAATTTCAGGTGACAGAAAATAAAAGTTTTATTTTAGAAAAAGAAAAAGAAAATGGGCCAAAGGGTATTATGGTCATTGAAGAAGGAATTGTCATTCCAAACTACAGGGTTAAAGAAACAAAAATACAAAATCATGTCATTGCCTTAAATTTTACCCTTTCAAAACTTTATCCTGTCTCCATCGCAACCTACTACCCTGAGCACTGACCCCTGACCCTTTTTCATTTGCCATTTCCACAACCCTAACCAGAGTTCCCTCTCTCTCTCTCTCTCTCTCTCTTAAGTTAAGAATGCCATTAATAATCATAAAAACCCATTAACAAAGTAATATAGATATCTTTGTTCCACATTTTTTTAGAAAAAAAAAAAAACCCAAAGCACTTAGCAATATATTTCAGAAAAACAAGATTCCCCCACTGCTGCAAAGTTTTCTACTATCGCTCCAAACTAAGAAAAACTCTGCTGTGTGAGAAAGATATTCTCTCTCTCTCTCTCTTCCCATCAATCTAATCAGATCATCCACTACTCTTATCTCTACCAATCCCAAATCATAAAAATTAGTACTTCAACTTCAAAAGTTCCATTCTAGCTCCTCAAAAAAGGAAATGTGTAATATATATCAATCAATAATCTGCAGGGTCTTACTTTCTTTTTATTAAGCACTAGTGCTTTGTTTTAATTTTTTTTTTCTCCTGACTGTGTTGTTTTCATGTCAACAGTGACATCTGCCAGAAAGTAGACTTATGTGATAGCAAGCTGAAGGAGTTATAAGAAACCAAAGTTTTCAGTTCCTTCACTTGTCTTCAACGGTTTCAACTTTGCTTTGCTCTCTTTCTTTGCTTTCTTTCTTTTTTATTTTTTTTCTTTGTTAGGTCTATATTAGGCTGTCTTATGGTCACTGAAAAGAGTTTTTCTCATCACCCAAAAGGAAAGGAAAACCCTAGTTAAGATCGAAAGTAGTTGAAAGAAAGAAGAGAAACATCCCATCAGCACCATCACCGCAAAGACGACCAACACATCTTTTTTATATCCCAATTTAATAAAACCCAATAATAGTTTTATAGTTGTAGAATACCTATTAAAAACCGTCCTCTTTCCAGCGATTCAATTAGAGAAATGGATAGCTCCAAGTCCGAAAACGCCAGCCTCATCAACGTTAGCCATGACGGTGCCACTTCACTTGCATCATCGTCTTCTTCAAGCTCTAGCCGCTACGAGAACCAAAAGCGCCGTGACTGGAACACCTTTGGGCAGTACCTGAAGAATCATAGGCCCCCACTTTCTCTGTCCAGGTGCAGTGGAGCTCACGTCCTGGAATTCCTTCGCTACCTTGACCAATTCGGCAAAACCAAAGTCCACACTCCAATCTGCCCCTTCTATGGCCACCCAAACCCACCAGCCCCTTGCCCATGCCCACTTCGTCAAGCCTGGGGTAGCCTTGATGCTCTCATCGGCCGCCTCCGAGCTGCCTTTGAAGAAAATGGAGGAAAACCTGAAGCAAACCCATTTGGGGCACGAGCTGTGAGGCTTTATCTTCGTGAGGTTCGTGATTCGCAGTCAAAAGCAAGAGGGATTAGCTATGAGAAGAAGAAGCGTAAGCGACCACCAGCTCAACAAATCCCAACTCTGCCACTGCCACCACCGCCAGGTGCAAGTTAAAAATATGCATCAGCAAAATAGCAGTTTACTCTATCTAGCATACGAGTAAATGTTTCTCCTGGTTGCTCCTAATTGCTTGATCTATGTGGGGTAGCTTTCTTTAGTTTTTCCATCAGTTATATGGTATTATTTTAAGATATCAGTATATTTTTAAGGGTAGTTTTACTTTCCTATGCTTTCTGTTTGCCGTTAGAGTGGTAAAAATTGGTAATGCTTTAGAAATTTTGGGGGATTCCTTGAATCTACTTTTGATGCAAACAGTGTTAGTATCCTCGGTAAGGACTAGTAGTAGTACTAAAAAAAGTCATTCTAAGAGTGATTGTACTAGCAGTTTGTTGCCTAAGTGGAACTGAGAGCATCTAATTGCTCATGGGTTTTATTTACTTTGAGTAGTCATGTATGCCAAACCATATTTATTTGCACTTCATCTCTCCGTATCTCTCCTCGTTTTAACCTCATTTGCTTTCCAATTCTTTTAATGAGGGTGTTGGCAAGTCCATTCATTGCTGTTAAGTGCTCGAAAGAACTTTACATGAGGATCATGTGTCAGATTTGTCTAGCACTATAGTTGTTTAATGGCTTTATCGCTTATGGTAGTCAGTTTCACCTCTCTCTGCTTGTCATTTTTTTTTCTGACTTCTCTTTTCTCTCTTTTGTTGTCTTGGCACTTTGAGTTTACTGCTTTACTGTCTGGATTTAATAATTAATATAAGAACAACATCAAACCATTTAAACATTGATATTAGCATTAGTTTCCTCTCTATTTATTCTGTGATATTGAATTTGAAAGTTTGTTAGTGGCCAGAAAATGGTCAATTATAATTATATATTTGCACTGATTCGCCAGCCCTAGTCATTGGTGCTGTCATTTCAATATAGAAAATATGGCAGACAACAATGTTCATTATATATAGTTTAACACTTCTAATTAACAAGCTAGATTTTCATTTACAAATGATCTAACACTTAAATATAATAAATATTCTAGTTGTGGAGTTTCATCTTCCACTTCCCATTGTGAACTATCTGTCAACTATTCCAGAAAGAGGAGATCAGAAAGTATTCAGATAGTAAAACTAATAACAGCCTTTCAGCATTGAAATGTAATATTTAGATACTGAATTAGACTTAGATGAGAAGAAAAGTTGGTTTTTTTAATTCTTCCAAAACATTTTGGTCCAAATTACTTCAAAGGTAACTCAAATCCCCCAACATAAATGATGAGATACATCAAAGAATTAAAAACCAATGTGTATGAAGTTACTTAAGGGAATTTTTTTTTAATCAATCTGGCCGACAGGACATCTATGATTGCCAAAGGGTCTGGTCATTCCTTTTGGATTTGGTGATTAACATTTGGCTTTAAAGAATAATTGAGACATTGTTTTAAGTGGAAAAAAAGTTGCACCTAATGGAATGGGAGTGTTTTAGCCAATAAGGGTATAACTTATACTACTAGCTAGGATAGATGCCAAAGAACTTTCTTGTCCCTTATTTGAGAACCGAGATGATCTATATACGGATGTTCTTAATTGTTGTTTAGATTAACTATATATGTAATTAGTCCTACTATGCTTTAAATTATAGAAATAGGGACCCTTTTGTGACAAAAAGGATATATTATCACAAAGCATTACCTTTCTCATGTCATCATATATACATATCTAGGATTGTGCTGGAAAATTTATCTATTTAATGACGAAAGTTATCATTCAAATGTAAGAAATGCATGCCTCAGATTGATGAGTCAGCCATGGTTAGCCTTTGTTATTTTCCTTGACATTACTTGCTTATAGTCATAACAGGCAATCAAGAGTTTTCGATTTTCAATTGAGAGGTGGATGCTTTCTCTCTCTCTTTTTTTTTTTTTTTATAATTGAGGTTGATGAGGATTGAACTTTCCTCAATAGTACTAAGAGTCTAACACTTCACCAATAGAATAGACATTTGTCCCCTTTTTCTTTTTTTTTTCCCCTCTTCCTCTTTAGTTTCTTTATTAGAATTTGTTAGCCTACTTGTGAAAATGAATTTTCTCAAACATATGGAATCTACTTTTTATTTATTTATTCAGTATCGTTTCAACCAAATTATGCATATATTTTATGCTCTCAAGGTCTACTCCATCATGCTTTGCAATTGCATTAAAATTTTGCACTATAGGTTTTACTTTTCTGACAATTTCCACTTGTAAAATCACCAACTGAAATTTATTTAATGGCCAATATTTCTAAGTGCTAGCTAAAAGTTTTCATGTCTGTTGAAATGGATTTATAAACTTTATTTCTTTATTAGCAAGAATTACAACTTTTTTAATTAATCGTCTCTTCTCCCTCTACAGATCTGATCATACAATTAATCTAATATCTATATAGATTCTACACTATATGATATGGTTTTCCTGTTTGCATTTTCACATTGTGATGCTTCTATCTCTATCTTGTTCTCTGTGTTCAATATATCAATACACATCTTTAAAAAAAAATAAAATTCCATTATGCATGTAATTAATTTCTACAGGCATATTAGTTTTTCTGTACATGTGTATGAGCGCAATGCTACTTTGCTTGAAATTAATGTAAGAAGCTAGTTATATCTCTACTTATGCCAGATGTTGGCAAGAGTTGTGTGCGTAGTGACAAAGAGAGTGAATAAGAAAGATATACAATTTCCATAACCATATTTATTGTAGCTCAGAAGATAATTTGTATCTCCATCTTGTTGGGGCAAATTTTAGTAATAGAATGATCCAATGATTTACCTTGATCATTCACTTGAAATTAGGTAATTTGCATTCTTGAAATAATTGGAAGTTGGAGTTTCGAACATTCTTCTTTTCATCTCTTTTTGCTCAATATTGAGCACAATGGAAATAACAACTCTGTAGCTGGCACCACAATCCTCAACATAGATGCAATTAATTTCTATAGGCATATAATTTTTTTTTTGAAAGGTTGGGTCTTGTTGCACTCCACTAATTTCAATATTATCATAATATAAGATGGATATAACCTTCCCTTTATATCTCCATCAATACATTTTGGGAAAAGTCTGCTGTTGCAAGCAATATGCAGACCTAGCTCCAATTGCAGTGGTGAAGAATTGAAGATGGTAACTTCAAGAATCTTTTTGAACGACTAGAAATAGATCATTAATGATCATAACTTCTATAATCGAAAGAATCTGTTATTTGGTTCACGTTTGAAATCATTACCCTAATATTAGTGAAATCAAGTGCGTGTCCACCTAGCTAAATTAAGTTACATTTGTCCAATAATTAAGCGCTTCATATGGTTCTTGAAACACCGATAGGTAAAAGTGTCGAAATTAAAAGATTGAAGATAAAATTGCTGAAATTAAGAACGATATTGAAAGTCAACTAAAGGGGGGTTATGATGTTCTATATGATCAATTGAGATTGGATTCTAGTTAAATTGTTGTCAATATTAATTTGTTGTATAGTACATAAATATAGCTAAGCTTAGAAGTAAAACTAATTAACAACAACCAATGATGAGATTACAGCTATTTTTTTAGGCTTCCTTTGGAGCATGGTGAGAGCGTGCACATTAAGTTGTATTTTATGATTGGATCCCTTAATTTCCCATAACTAGATCTGTACATTTGATTTTCCCTTTTTTTTATGTTGAACTTTTGGTTTTCGATGAATATCCGGGGAAATAAGCACATTGCAAATGTATGATACTACAAATGATATAGCAGTTTAGAACCATGAAATTGTGTCGTCCCTTCTACAAAACTAAAAGCTACTATTGCAATAATTGTTGAATGTATAATATATATTAATTTCCAACCTCTAGCTAAAATTAATAAAATCACACCATGAAACCAAAAAGATTACATATGAGTTTATCTTCAATGATTAATGCATTTGGTAAGTAGATGAACTTAAGTTTTACTAAACAAGATTAGATTTTTGTTTGACAAAAAATTAGATCCAAACAAAAATTGAAAATAACTGCTTGTATTATCAAGAAGAAAAAACTTGTTGTTTAAAACATGTATTTTATATGAGAGGGTGGATCAAAGTCAAATGCAGCTGCGCACGGTACAATCGACCAAAAAACTTTTCAAAGGAAAAAAAGAACATTGATTTATGAATGTTCCACGATCAAAATGAGACAAATTGACAATCCATACTTCAATAGTTAGTTTTTCCAATATCTATGAGGACGTAAAAATTAGACTCTAAATGCATAACTATAAATTGTAAGTGTTTCCTCCAAAATGGGATTAACGAAAATAAAAATAAAAGAAAAGTGGTGTGTTAACTGCAGCATTTGTATATTTATACTTATGCATAACAGTACAAAAGTGGAGGCAATAGAAGCCAAAGGTTGGCAGTAAGGCAGCCCAAAATTTACCTTCCCCATAAGCCTAAATGTGATTTATACTTATGCATGCTATTTCTCTGAACAAAAGTTTTCCCCCACTGCAAAGGTCGACCACTACCCAGGCCACTGCCCCCTGCCCTCTACAGTCCATTTCCCTTCACGTTCCTACAGTACTTCCAAATGTCACAAACTTTATTATAACTCATATGCATCAATTAAACTCGAACTTTAGAGATCAGAAGGAGAAAATAAAAGAATCACAGCAGGCAAATGTTTTGATCAGAACAAGTGATGAAATTCCTTTTTCTAACTGGGACCCATTCCAATGGGTCCTGCCGTAGTTGCAATAAGCTAGAAGTATGTCAAATCTTTTTCCTTTTTTTCAAACTGGAACATCATCATAATATAAAGTTAAAGAGTTTTACAGGGTACTGGTAGTAGTTTAGATCAGCAACATTTAGAACTAGCCTAGCAAGGCAATAGTTTTTTTGTCAATCCCTTGTAATAATGAAACATCCTAGTACCATGTTGGAAAGGTTTCATCAAAGAGCCTACATTAATCATCAACATCAAGAACATACTGAGGCTGAAGACATGCGTGTTCCATATATTATGAAAGAATGAATGTTTTTAAGTGTTTTTTTAATGAATTTTATGAAAAATAGTTTATAATTTATGCATTATTCGTGTATTATGTATAAGTGTTAAATAATGATGTTTTAAATTTATTAAATAATTTTTAGAATGAAAAATAAGTAAAGGAATTTAGATGTCATTTAAAGAGAATTTGAATGACCAAGTTTAAATGTAATTTATCTAAAAATTTATCTTGGACATCCGAATTTTATGAGATGAAGAGTCAAATGTCTTGTAGGATTTCACATTTTGTATGAAAATTTACTTTTGACATTCAAATGCTCCTACTAAAAATTCAAAAATTTTATTTGTTGAACATGATACTTCATTCCAAAAATGAGGATTCTTCTTTCAAGTGATGCTTTTCATAAAGAGGTGCTTCAAATACATTTTAGGACTTATAAATTCTTTCATTTATGTTTATTTAACACAACTTTTACATATAGTCATTTGAAGAATTAAATCATTTTCTCTTACGCTATTTTTTTATTTTTTATTTTTTATTCAAGTGTTTAA